TCCCCATTTCTCTGTATGTGCAAATATAGAGAATCTACAATGTGCAAATTCACAGATTAGCAGTTATTGCCTTTGAAAAACATAGAGGTTAAAATTGCCTACTTTTGTAATGTTTTTTAGGAAAGGAAAAAGAATCTTTCAGAGATCAGCAAGTGTGCCCACCACTTGGTATGTATACATTCTGTTTCCACCCAAGGGGACATTATCAGAACAGAAAAGCTGTACTAAAATCAAGAGAAAAATACAAAACTATAGTTCATTTCACTAGAACAAGCAAACCTACTAAGACAGGACTAGCTGGCACATTGTCAGTTATAGAATCTGAGGTACTACAGTAACTAAAATTGACAGGAAAATATTAACAACTGTGTGTATGGGGGGGGGGGGGCACGGAGGTGACCTGCAACAACTACATAACTTATTTTTCATTTAATGGGAAGGTCGTTAAGTGTGGTGTGGATTTAGAAATTATGACTTACCAGTCTTCTGAAGACGAGTGTTAGAGGCATGGAGGTTCCTTGTAGCAATGAAGGATGATCCCAAAGCATTTTTGGAGACCTAGGGCAAGAATATTTTTTAAAATCTGATTTTTAAAAAGGTCTTTATAAAACTGGCAAGCTTGAATGCAAGCTTAGTTTGATCAAGTTATCTGTTAAAATATTAATTATACTCACAATAGTTTGTTTAAAATTGGAAGACTATTAATCAGATGAGAAAATACATTTTGATTGTGAAAACCTATTTGCAGTTCCTGGTACACTCTAAGTATATTCAACAGTTAACAAAGCATCTTTCCCTTTAAAGGCATCTGGTATTATTATTTTGACTTTAAAGCGATATTTCATTTGATTTTTTGATATTGTCAATAAGATAAATTGCTTCCTAAAAGGGGCAAGTCTCAATAAATTACCTACTAAAAAAACAAAAAACCAAGCAAAGAAAAAAACTGTCAATGTTGGAATTTGACTAGAAACTAAGAGGTATGGCATATGCAACTTTTTTAAAAACTGCCTTCAACAAAGCCTGCATCAATCTGGACCGCTCCTTCTCCTTCAAATTGTAATGCTGTGATTGGTCAAGGTCCACTCTGAAGCTCTACAGGACCTGGAAAATCGTTAAAGATACTTTTTTGCTAACAGATACCCAAGATGCAACCAGCGGCTGTTAGGGCAGTAAAATGCCCAGTATGTTTATTTCCCTTTGCAAACTGAGACTACTTTTAAGGTGGAAAAATAAGCAAATGTGAATGCGCTTACGCAGGATTTAAGGGTTATGTCCTTAACTTCCAGAGAGCTATGTCCTCAAGGGCACTGACCTTCACAGGTATGTTCAGACCTATGTCCTCCTCTCCTTGAGTTCTCAACCACTGTCTAACAATCCCTCGAGAACGAGGTCTTCAGCATGTCAGCGTACCACAAAGCGAACTCTTCTGCGACACTGCGAGAATTTACAAGCCAGCTTCACTGCTGACACGGTATCGGCCGCACGAAAAACATACTTGCGCTGTACCGCGTTTCCACAATCTTTTCCACATCCAGCGCTAAGATCGCCCACTGAACCTTCCTGTACCGCTCTCCTCTGAGCTGATCCCCGGGCAGAGGTGACACGCCGCGGCCCGCTGACCTTCACGTCATCTCAGGCTTCCCCAACTCGCTCTGACCTTCAGCGAGGGAGTCCCGGAGACTCAGCGGGCGCCGGCCTCGCCGTTTCGGAGCGGGCGTCGGACAGCTAGCGCCCAAGCCCTGATCTTCACCCGAGGCCCCTCGCTGACCGGAGATGGAAATCCTCCTGAGCCCTCCCCCCTCTGGACAGCATCAAGGTCACCAACTCCCCTGCACCACTCTGCACCATCCCGCACGGATGGCGAACACGAGGGCCTCTCCCCCGCCCGTGCTGACCGGCCGGGCCCGGCCGGAGCAGCCAGCAGTGCAAGATGGCGGCGCCTGCCATAGCCCCTCACCCTCCTTGCAGAAGGAGCTCTCGAGCCAGCGCTCCACCACCAACCCGCGGCGTCCCCACCGGGCCGCCTTCCTCCCGCCGGTGCCCCGCGCTCACCAGCCCGGCCCGCCGAGGGAGGGCGCGGGCCACGGCCGCGGCGACGCGCACGGACAGCATGGTTGCAGCTCCTAGCCGGTTCCTCTGCAGCCGCAGCCTCGGACTGACTGGGACAAAATGGCTGAGCGGCGAGGAAGGTCAAGGCAGCCAACCCACCTGACCCGGAAGTACCGCCCCTCGCTTGCACGTCCCGGATGCAAATCTGCCTTTTGTGAGGTTTGGGTGGTTACTTTTTATTTTTAAGTATTATTTTTAGATTTAAACTTCAAAATGAATGATTAAACTTTTGCCAGCTTCCGCCCAGGCATTAATTACACATTTTCTTTGGTCTTTCCAGTCGACCTTGTGGCTGCCCCGGGCGACCACGTGGGTGGCGGAACCAGTAATGAAGCAGTTCACTGGCCGTATTTTGGGTATGAGGTGAGGGTGTTGGCATCGCCCTGTCCCTGTGCAAGGTGATGTTGACACCCCGTCTGAGGGCGCAGCAGGCAGGTTGACTATGAGGTGGGTTGATGGGTTCTGGTCTATTAAACAGTTTTCTGCGAAGAGGGGTGGTCCTCAGATCAATGGGGTTCCACCCCAGACTCTGTGTTGAAAAATTGGGGCTCTCTGAATTTTGACAAGCACGCTGTGGAGGAAAAAGGGGCCACATACTAGACCTGACAAGCGCAGGGGAGGCCTGCATGGCAGCCTTACAAACTAAGAGACTGAAAGTAACCACATAGGATGGTCTGAAATTAAGACTTCTTTTCTTTTTAATATGTTTTCTAAATGATTTTGTAGAGAGAAAGGGAGAGGGAGAAACATCCATGTGACAGCAAAACACCGATCAGCACGCCCCCTGCTGGCGATCCAGCCTGCAACCTGGGCGTGTACCCCTACTGGGAATCCAACCTGAGTCTCGGTGCATAGGACAACATTCAACATTCAACCAACTGAGCCACACTGGCCAGGGCTGAAATGAAAACTTCTTAATTAAAAGTGAGTTGTGGCTGGTAGTCCTGTCCTAGGCTTGTATCTTCCTTGACAAAGGTAAATCTTAACCTTAACTGAGCCTGTCTACTGCCTTTTTGCATCTAAGATACCTTTTGTGGAAGGACTGAGTAATTTCTTTTTCCAGACCCCTCAGAGCACAATCTCCAAACAGAGAGCAGAGACCACAAATACCCTCACTGTTAATCACTACCATGTTAATTGTTAACTGTTGACTATCCTATACCCACCTGTGTGAAAGATGTATATGTCTAGTCCTTTTACTTTTTATCCAGTCCCAGAGATTTCCCCCTTTGCTTTCTCCTGCCTCCCTAATCTATCACCAGTGGATTTCATTTAACCCCCTTACATCTTCCCATTTGATTCTGATGTATAAAATAAGTGGTACAACGGCCATTTTCTGGAGCATTTTCTCAATCACATGAGATTTTGCTTCCCAGCAATTGTCATCAGTTTGGCTCAAAGAAACTCATAAAAATTCTTACAGGTTTGGATGTTTCTTAACGTTGACAACCCACACTGATACCCACTCAAGTTGGAGAACCATAGTTCTTTTGAAATCCTGTCTGTGAATTAGAGAAAATTGTTTTAACACTGTACAGGCACAAGGAGTTCAAGTAAAGTAGTTGCCAAGAATACTCCTGATTAGACTAGGGCTCAATTTTTCCTCTACCAGCAACTAGTTTCATGACAGTAGGAACTCTGCTTTTTCATTTGGAGTAAAACAGAAATGATGAAAATAACTTCTGTACCTACCCAGTAAGATTGCAACAGGACACACATACACACACAGAATTTTTGTGATACTAAGATTTTTGTGATATGTACAGAATTTAGAGGGGATACTGGGTATTTTGTGATAGTGGAGACTATTAACATTGCCTTCACTTGTTTCTGAGATATATCTCTTTGGTCCGAGAGCCGGAGCTCTAACCACTGAGAAAACCAGCCTGGGCATTTAAGTAGAGATATATTTGACTGAAAAAAAAATCAGAAAGCTATACAATATGGTATTGGCTAGTTAATAACATTCCTTTGAAAAGAAAGGTTTACATGCATATGACTGACCAGGTGATGTGGACGAAAGGCCAGACACAGATGTCATCCACTCCAGAGGGGCTGGCCACCAAGAGGGGTCCACACAGGATACCATTGTCCTAGTCAACATACCATAGTCCAGGATATGGTCTTCAACTGTGTCCATTTAGAAACTAGAATATGTAAACAATAAAAATTGACCTGGTTCTTAGAATAGATTTAGGTAACCTTAGAGAAGAAATTGTAAAATCAAGAAGCAAATTTATCATATTTCCTAGATGCTGAATTCCAACTTTTTAAAATACTTCAACATTTTTAAAATAAAAATGTTTTTTTATGATGGAAAAAATATGCATATGACACAGGATAAAGATATTTGGTGCTCATTCTGATCCACAGTTTGATATTAAATCACATATCACAGAAAATGAGTACATAGTCTACCTTTCCTAATGTAACACAATTCACTGCAGGTTTCAACAGCAGGGTGGTATATATAACCAGAGGAAACTGAAACACCCAGTTGGAGCCAGAACACTGGTCAGGTTCCAGCTCTACCACCTGCACTTGGTAGAGGCATTTAATCTATGTGTGTGTGGTTTTAATGTGAAAATACGCAAAATAATGTGTGCCTATCTATTTTACAGGGTTCCTGTGACAATGAACAAAAATAGGAAAACACATAGAAAATTATACATTGCTGTAGCAATATAAAGAACCGTTCAGTGTTAACTACAGTGGTGGAGGGAGGAGAGAGCCTTAGGAAGACAAGAAATGAATGGAAGACTGGCTGAGTGGCAGTGAAAGTGCCATCCTGGAGTCCTAGAAGAAACTACAACTCCCAGAAATCCCGGGTCTCAGAGGGGGCTGGACAACGGCGTGTGGGCGGGGCCTTCAGAGCAAGCTGGCGGGCGAGGAGCATCTCGAGAAGTGGCGGGAGCGGCAGCTATGGAAGCGCCGGAGGAGAAGGAGGCGCAGGTGATGGGGCGGGAGCGGGCATCTGCGGCGTCCTAGAAACCGAGTCTTTAATACACCGCCCGGCCGGCGGATCTCCTGCGGAGGCCGCGTTTACTTACGTGCCTCGCGGGTCCACGCTAGGCCCGCCTTCACGTCCTTTGAGCTCCCTTCTGCTGGGACTGCCCTGGAAAGAGCCTTTCCTTTCCCTTCCTTCCTCGGCCTTTCCAAGCTGAGTCTTGGGCTTTAAGAAGAATTGAGGAGCCCCCGGTACAAAATCCCTCCCAGCAAACAGAAGTGGGACTTATGAACCAAAACCCATCTTCCAGCCAAGCCTCGCGGTTCACTGCTTCTTCCTACAAAAATTTTCACGCCTCACCGGCTTCCCTGTCCAGCATCCCAACTCTGGGATCCTCTGTGGGGCTTGTGGGTTATGTACAGCTCCACGCCCCGCCCCCCGAGTTTGCACGTATAATAATGCTTTAGGACCTGCATATTGAGCTTTAAAATTATTAAAGTGATGCAGATTATTAGCCTATATGCTGCTTTTTGTAGCTTTGGGAAAGGATGAATTGTTTTCTGGTAATTTTGTTCCTTGTGCTTTCTCACTTATTTTCTGACATCTGGTGTCTATCTTCTTAAAGACAAGTTAGGATGTGAAGTAAACAGGACGTCAGAATAAATATAGAAAGCATTTTGTTTGCGTCTGATCACCTCTTTGTAATATTTGCTTTTTGCCTTTACAATAAACAAGACATAATATTTATCTTCCTTTTAATGGTTAGGTTGCTGTGTGGCTGAAAAAGATATTTGGAGATCATCCCATTCCACAATACGAGGTCAATCCACGGACCACAGAGATTTTATATCACCTTTCAGAACGCAACAGGGTCCGGGACAGGGATGTCCACCTGGTAATAGCGGACTTGAAACAGAAAGCAAGTGAATATGAATCAGAAGGTGAGATTAATTTCAGAATTTTTGAATGAGCTAATAACTAGAGGTAACCACATTTTATAACACTGAAGTGTACAAGATTAATTTAGAGTAGAAAACTTTTTTTTTTTTTTTTTTAATCCTCACCCGAGGATATTTTTCCATTTTTTGTACAGGCAGAGTGGGAGGGAGAGAGAGGGAGAGAGAGAGAGAGACATCGACGTGAAGGGACACATCGAGTGGCTGCCACCCGCACGACCAACCAGGGCCGGGGACAAACTGCAACCGAAGTACGCGCCCTTAGCGGGAACCGAACCCGGGTCTCTCCGGACCGCAGGCCGACGCTCTAACCGCTGAGCCAAACCAGCCAGGGCAATATTTAAATATTTTTTATTATCTCTATATTACCTTAGATTTTTTTTTTATTATTATTATTTTTTTATCCTCACCCGAGGACATTTTTTGTTCAGATAGAGTAGGAGGGAGCGAGAGAGAGAGAAACATCGATGTGAAAGGGACACATCGAGTGGCTGCCACCCGCACGACCAACCAGGGCCGGGGACAAACTGCAACCAAGGTACATGCCCTTAGCGGGAACCGAACCCGGGTCTCTCGGGACCGCAGGCCGATGCTCTAACCGCTGAGCCAAACCGGCCAGGGCTAGAGTAGAAAACTTTTTGGTGTGATATTTAGAAAGAGACAGGAATGGAGAGGGAGCGAAAGAGAAAAACATCCACGTGAGAGCGAAACATAGATTGGTTGCCTCCCATGCGTGCCCTGACTGGGGATCGAAGTCAAAACCTGGACATGTGGCCTGGTTGGGAATCAAACCCTAGACCTTTTGGTGTACGGGAGGACAATTCAACCAACTGAACCACACTGGTTAGGGCTGATATACCATTTATATGAAGTGTCTATAATTAGCAAGTGAATGGAGACAAAACATATATTAGTGGTTGCTAGGGCTTACTGGTTTGGGGAATCAGAAAATGATTACTAAGGAATGTGTGTGGGGTTTCATTCTGGGTTGATGAAAATGTTCTAAAATTGACTGTATCATGGGTATGCCTCTGTGAATATGCTATTGAATTACAGGTAAATATAGTTTAGGTGGGTGAATTGTATGATATGTGAAAGATTTTGGTTAAGCTGTTACCAAATTAAAATAAAGAAAAACAAACATTTTAGTCATTATAGAACTCTTATATCTTTTCAGCCAAGCATCTTCAAGACCTTCTCATGGAGAGTGTGAATTTTTCCCCTGCCAATCTCTCTAGCACTGGTTCAAGGTATCTGAATGCTTTGGTTGACAGTGCAGTGGCCCTTGAAATAAAGGATACCTCAGTAGCTAGGTAATTTTTGTGACAGTTTTAATTTCTGCAATCATATAATGTCTTGACCTGAAAGACTTTTTGTTTCTCAGTGTAATTCTGTATAGGAAATTAACAATAAATGCCAAAATACTGAATTTAACTTCTTATCATTGCTAGTGAGTATGTATAATTAATTCAGGTAAACTTGGTATTGATTAAATTTTAGTGCTTTCTTCTTCCAGGATTAAGTTTGTGAAGCTTGATTTCCACGTGTATTTGGAAAGGTATTAGGTATCACATTGTTCCCTATAAATATACAATAAGAAAAGTGGTAAGCTAAATCATCTGGTTGAGCATAGTGAATTTTGTTATGTTCCTACCCTACTGAGTAGAGTAGTTTAAGGACCTTTATTCTTTGTTACAGGCATTTCACCTGTATAATGACATTATTCTTCCATCAACCCTAAGAGGAAAATGACGTTTGGGAGTGGTGTTAAATAACTTTCTGAGCTATTTAAATGGCAGAGTTGAATTCAAACCCTGACTGACTCCAGAGTCCATATGAGTATCACTGGTGGCCATATCTTAGCTAGGATGACCACTATAACCTACAGAGAACTGTACAGCTATTCTGCTTCCTTGCCAATATAAGGGTTTGGGATTTATATATATATGCTCAAGAGTAGTGTTTCAGGTATAAGAACATGTATGTTGTATGGTTGCAGACATCTAGACTTAAGTCAATTCAGCAGACACTAAATACTGGTTATATGCTATATATATGCATATATATGTGGGGAAGCAGAGGTGAATAGGATAGAAATTACAATCAAGGACAGTCTCTGCTGTCAAATAAGGGAGATGGGCACATAAAACTACAACACACTGTGTGACAACTGTAACATAACAAGAATGTACAAGCTGTTGCTGGGGCACTGAGAAAAAAAGGTAGTGAATTCCAGGATGGGAGTAAATCTTATTTGTGTTTTGAAGGACAAGGGATTTTACAGACGATGGGAACAGTATGTACAAAATACAGAGATATGAAACAGCATGGTTATGGAAGAATCTACATGGAGATAAAATAATTGTTAGAAATGAGGAGTAATTTTAAATATTGTCCTTGATGTCCATTTATGTGACCAGATTCTTTTTGTTTAGTTTTCTCCCTGCAGTGAATGATTTGACCTCTGATCTTTTTCGTACCAAATCCAAAAACGAAGAACTCAAGCTCGAATTGGCAAAACTTGAAAAAAATTTGACTGCAAGTTTAGTGTTAGAAAAATGCCTACAAGAGTAAGTAATTGAATTTGAAGTGGTGACAGTTTTTATTAAAAAGCAATAATAGGCCCTGGCCAGTTTTTCTCAGTGGTTAGAGCGTCGGCCTGCGGTCCGGAGAGACCCGGGTTCGGTTCCCGCTAAGGGCATGTACCTCAGTTGCAGTTTGTCCCCGGCCCTGGTAGGTCGTGCGGGTGGCAGCTACTCGATGTATCCCTTCACATCAGTGTTTCTCTCTCTCTCTCCCTCTCTCTCCCTCCCACTCTGCCTGTACAAAAAATGGAAAAATATCCTCGGGTGAGGATTAAAAAAAAGCAATAATAGGCCCTGGCCAGTTTTGCTCAGTGGTTAGAGCGTTGGCCTGCGGTCCGGAGAGACCCGGGTTCGGTTCCCGCTAAGGGCATGTACCTCAGTTGCAGTTTGTCCCCAGCCCTGGTTGGGTCATGTAGGTGGCAACCACTCGATGTGTCCCTTTCACGTCGATGTTTTTCTCTCTCTCTCTCTCTCCCTCCCACTCTATCTGAACAAAATATCGAAAAATGTCCTCGGGTGAGGATAAAAAAATAAAATAAAATAAAAATAAAAGCAATAATAGGACTTTATCATATTTAGTTTTACAATTAATATGATTTTTAAAAATTTGTTTTCTTTATTGATTTTAGAGAGAGAGGAAGGGAAAGGAAGAGAGAGATAGAAACACTGATGAGAGAGAACATTGATTGGCCACCTCCTGCATACCCGCTGGGGATTTGACCCACAATCTGGGCATGTACCCTGTCTGGGAATCTAATCAGCGACCTCTTGGTGCATGGGTTGATGCTCAACCACTGAGCCACACAGGCCGAAGGTCTTTTTGACCTTCGTCTTCACAACCAGACAGAATTACTGATCCTTTTTTAGCCACACGGTGCTAAATTAATATGATTTAAAACAACACATTAAGAAATGGTGCCTGGCTCTGGCCAGTTTGGTTCAGCGGTTAGAGCATCAGCCTGAGGACCAAAGAGTCTTGGGTTTGATTCCAGTCAAGGGTATCTACCTTGGTTGCAGTTTGATCCCCAGCCGTAGTCAGGTCATGCAGGAGGCAACCAATCTATGTTTCTCTCTCTCTCTCTTTCTCGCTTGCTCTTTCTCTCTTCCTCTCCCTCTCTCTCACTCTATCTGAAGATAAATGGAAAAATATTCTCAGGTGAGGATTTTAAAAAATTGAAAATAAATAAATAAATAAAAGAAATGGTGTCTGTAAAATGTCTTTTTTTTTTTTAGGTAGAAAATGACTTGGATGGAGGTGGGGGGTGGCTGGTGGTCAGGTGTAGACTTTCACCTTTTACTTCATACAATTTCTTACCTTTCCCCCCCCTTTTTTTTTACTTATAAACTATAGTGCAACTTAAAGTAGATTATATTTTGTTGCTTTTTATTTTACTAGTGCTCTGCTATCCCTCTTGATGCTCTGGACCATTTTTAGGTCCCATTTGCCCCAGAGATTAGATGCTGTGGATGAGGAATATGTATATGCACACATCATTTGGCAGTGTGTAAATTTATTCAATAAATATTGACTGTGTATATGCAAGGCACTGTGTCATGTCACATTTAGAAGAAAGGCCTTTTGGGACCTCCATAATTCAAATTGTCTTTAGGGCATATTAAATGACTTTTACTTTGTCCAAGAATAATTGGCACAAATAAGTTAATCTTAAAATTATTTTATATTTCTTGAGAAAAATCTCAGATGGCAACATGGAAGAACATCTGTTAACTAGTCTGGGATATAAGTTTTGTGGTAGAAAATCCAGCAAGTGTGTTACCTATTCTTGTCTAATGCAGAGTTGAATCCAAAAAGTAATAAAGTTGTTTGTGTTTTTCATAATAATTTTACTGAGGAGAAGAAAATGTTTCCAATTTTACTTTTTAAAGGGATCTCAAGAAGGCCGAGTTGCATCTGTCTTCAGAAAGGGCCAAAGTTGACAATCGTCTTCAGAACATGGACTTCCTAAAAGCGAAGTCAGAGGAGTTCAGATTTGGAATCAGAACTGCAGAGGTATGTGTGAAGGACTAAATAATGTTAGATCTCTTCATAATACTTTTTGACCTTCGTCTTCACAACCAGGCAGAATTACTGATCGTTTTTACAGACAAGGGAACTGCAGAGAAGATAAGTAACTGCCTAAGGTTACATAGCTACTTAGCAGCGGATCCAGATTCAGGTGCAGGCAGCTGGGCCCCGATGCTCAGGATCTTAATGAGCACTGCACCCATCTTACCACAAATCTGTGGCTGTGGAAATGATTAACATGCCACATAAAAGTGTTCAGATGCATGTAATGTCTTTCATCTGTGATTTGTAGCTTATCTTTACCGGGGTATATGCTGAAAATATTTAATGATGATCACTTTGAAAATAATTTTCTTAACTGAACCCCCATTTTTATAACTGTAGGAGAAACTTTCAGCCAGAGGCATGGAGGCTTCTCTGTCTCATCAGTCACTAGTAGCACTTTCAGAGGTGAGCTTATTCTAACCCAATTTAACTTTCTTTAAAATCTTAGTGTATAGTCTGCTCTTTCATTTGTTTCTTTTTATAGAGCTTTATTCACTATTGACCTAATTTATTTTCCTTTACCTCTGTACTTTATGTTGATCAGTATTCATGTCTTTATGCCTTATTTAGCTGTATATATCCTCACATTTGTTTTTTTGTTTTGTTTTATTTTTTACTATATGCTAGAAACTCAGTACTGGAGTCAGTTTTATATTATTGATTTATTTATTAAACAAATTTATTGAGGAACTCTGTGCTAACCATCTAGGTCTTCCTTCTTTTCTTTCAGAGTACAATAAAAATGTAGGCCCCCAAACTTCTGTAGAATGTAATTCTGGCTTTTTAGGTTGTATAAGTATTTTGTCTATTTTGGTGGGAAGAAGGAGTAATAGGGGCTTTGTTTTATCACTCTTTTTTTTTTTAAGATATATTTTTTATTTAATTTTTTTCCATCACCATTTATCCCCCCTATATATTTTATTATTCTTTTTTTTTTTTCATGTTTTTATTGATTGTTTTCAGAGAGAGGAAGAGCAAGGGAGAGAGAGAGAGAAACATCACTGAAAGAAGCATCAACATCGATTGGCTGTCTCCTGCATACCCCCTACTGGGGATTGAGCCCGAAACCCAGGTATGTGCCCTGACCTGGAAGTGAACCAGTGACATCTTGGTGCGTAGGTCGACGCTCAACCACTGAGCCACACCAGCTCTGCTATTTTATTATTCTTAAGATATTTTTTTTGTACTTTGATTTTTGAAATCTAAAGTTGACAATTCATAAATATGTATTTGAGACTCTAATTGTTCCCTTACATTTCGATTCCTCTTAATCACATATTTTGGGTTCCTAGACAGCATACTTAAATCCTATTTTTAGTAAATGGGAATACAACTTTTCTATTTTAAGCATCTTATAAGAACTGTTTCCACTGGAAGTGAGTTTAAGCTCTTTATTTGATCCATTATTTAAAATATCCTAATGTTAATGCTTTACTGTATTTTATTTCAGAAATGAGCAGTATTTAGTTACATTGTTAATATCTCTATTACTCTGTGACTCCATGTTTTTTTCATCCCCAGAAACTTGCAGAACTAAAACAGCAGACTATACCTGTGAAGAAAAAATTGGAGTCCTATTTAGATTTAATGCCGGTAATTATTTTTATGAATTAAAAAAAGAGGGTATCTTTGTTTAGTGCCTCCCCAAAGCACTAAATGATCATGAAAATAGTGAGTCCATCTTAAGGATGTAAAGTTCAAGCTGAGTTTCATTGGGTATACTATACTCTTAGTAGGGTTTTTGACTTTTGAAAAGGATCATTGCATTTTTTCCCCTTAAGTCCTAATTGAGGTACTATAACCTTTCCTTGTTTTTTTTCTTTAAAAGAATCCATCTCTTGCTCAGATGAAAATTGAAGAAGCAAAACGAGAATTAGTAAGTTCTATTTTTTCCTTCAGATTTTAAGAAAGAAACAAAGTAAATGCTGATATAGTTAAAGCTCCCTTCATCCTTCTTTCTTCCTCCTCAAAGCTAAACCATAGTCCCAAAGTTGCTGTGTATCATTCCCATGCATCTTTTAATACTTTTGGCATATGTGTATATATATATATTTTCCCCATAAAAGAATACATAGTGGTTTTTTATGTCTTTTTAATTTTTGCTTAGATTTTCTTAGGTGGAGGGGGTGGGAGTGTGAGACATAGACTATTCTAGGCACAAGAGCCAAAAATGGAGAACTTTTCCAAGCTTTGGCAAATGATGAGGTCCAGATGCCTAGGAGAATTCAATGGAAGATAGGACTGAAGAGGGTCAATTGGTTTACGATGTAAAAGACATTTAAGATAAAAAGTGTGGAGTCTATAGGAGACCACTGAAAGCTACTGTGTGTTTCCTTGTTCTTTAGGCCAAAGAGAAGTGTGGTCAAAGCTTTGCTTTTGTATCAAGCCAGTTATCTAGGAAGATGATTCTGGAATCAGGGCATAGAGTAGATTGGAGGAGGGAGAAAGAAAATTCCAGGAACCTATTGCAGTTGGTTGTTTGGGCCAGATGAGAAATAATGAGAACAGTGGCAATGAGCATGGAAAAGAGGTGATGTGAGAGACATTATGGAAGTACATTGTTTAAGGAGTAAAGGTCAGGAAAACCTACTTATGTATCATACTAATTCATCTCTCTAAAGGGAACCCCCCCCCCTTAGATGTTTATGAGAATCAAGAGTCTGAAAACTTTTGGGGTTTGGAAAGGGGGAGAATGTAAAAGCAAAGGAATGTCTAAAAGCATATATAATATTTATAATTTAAAAAAATTTCTGTTTTAATATTTTGATTTGTTTTCCTTATTCTAAATAGCATTAGATGTTAGAGCACCTGTTTTATATCCTTCTCTATAGTATTTAGGTGTTTCTTTCCTCCTTTAGGATACCATTGAAGCTGAACTCACAAAGAAAGTAGACATGATGGAACTGTGACCAGAGCCAAACAAAGTAAATCAAATAGGACTTTAAAGCATTGTTTCCTTGCCCTGGCCGGTTTGACTCAGCGGTTAGAGTATCGGCCGCGGACCAGAGAGTCCCACATTCGGTTCCTGCTAAGGGCACATACTGTGGTCGCACTTCGTCCCTGGCCCCTGTTGGGGTCATGTGGGTGGCAACCAGTTGATGTGTCTCTCTCACATCGATGTTTCTCTGTCTTCCTCCCTCTCTCCTTCCCACTCTATCTGAAGATAAATGCAAAAATGTCCTCGAGTGAGGATAAAAAAAAAAATTGTTTCCTCTTGCCATTCCTTAATAACTTAATTTCTGTGTTCTTAGATGAAATAATGTCACTATTGATGGGATAGTGGTTTCTGTTATGTATTGAATTTTTGTGCCCACATGTATACTTTTCCTATTAAAAATATTGGTTTCCTATATTGTGGGTGGTTTCAGTGTCCTTCAGTATTTCCATTAGGTGAACATTATGACAGTTGTCATGCAGTCACTCATTAGGTCAGTTAAGTGAAAGGGAAAGGTTCTGGAACTCCAGTTATGTGTTTCCCACTCTTCTTCCTCCGGGGATTTGCTTTCTGATTAGCTCACCTGCCTATCTCCAAATGTTAATATCTGTAGGAATTTCGTTTATGAAAAAGATGGCCTTTAAAAATCAGTGGTAGAGAGATGGGTAATTCAATCCGTGGTACTAAATCCATATTCACACCTTATGTCAGGATAGTTTCAAAGGATCAGAGATTTAAATGTTTTTTTTCAAAGTACAAGAAATTATGGAAGAGTTTTAATATTTTGATGTTTAAATAATCATAGAGTCAGAAACATATCACAAAAATCCAGGAACCATAAATGAAATTATTGAAATATTTGAAAATTTGAAATATTTAAAATTCCTGCATGGCAGAATCATTCATGGATATAACAAATGTGGTGCAGGGAAGAAGGAAGAGAAATTTTTCACTGTGTACCTTTTGTACTTTAAAAAATTTTATACCATGTGATTAGGAAGCAATTAAGTTTTTAAAGATTATCTAAATTTCCTTCCTCTCCTTTTCCACAAATATGTGGCTAAATACAATACAAAATACAAAAACATTTTTGTATTTTTTTTGAAACTGTCCATATTCTTTAGCCATTTAGCTATCATAGTCTTTTTCTTAATTTACAGGAGCTTCTTAGATAATAGATAAATTAATCTTTTATCACTTGTCTTTTGACTTAATTGCAGGACTTTTGATAAGGTAGCCTGGTAGATTGATTATGGAAATGACCATAATAATTCCCTCCATTCCCGTGCACTCGCCCTTTGTATCTTGACTGTGCCACTTCTCCCATCAGAAGGTGGAGTCTTACCTGGCTGGTGTGGCTCAATGGGTTGAGCAATGTCCAGTGCACCAGGAGGTCACCAGTTCAATTTCTGGTCACGACATACACCCGGGTTGCAGGCTCAATCTCCGGAGAGTACGTGTAGGAGGCAGCTGACTGATGTTTCTATCTCACTGTCTCTCCTTTCCTCTCCCTCTGAAATCAATAAAAACATATTTTTTAAAAAAGAGGTTGAGTCTTGGTCTCCATGTCTTGTATCTGGCTTGGCCCTATGATTTGTTTCAGTCCATGATACAAAGCAGATGTGACAAAATCTGAGAATTAAAACCAGCTCGTGTGTTGGAACTTGCCCTTTCTCTTACTGCTCTGAAATTCTGATACCGTAATGTGAAAAACCCTAGGCAAATCTACTGGAGGATGAAAAGCTTTGTGGAGCAGAGACAAGTAATTCCAGCTGAGCCCTACCCTCACCCTAAGACCAAACAGGCTGCCTATGGCCAGATGTGTGAACAAGGCCTTCTTAGACTGTCTAGCCCAAACTGAGTCATCAACAGACTTCAGAGATAAGTCAAACCCAGGCCAGAAGCCCCCACAGTCAATCTATGGAATTATGAAAAATAATAAACAATTGTTCTTTGAAGCTTATTTTTAAGTTTTGGGCTGGTTGTTACCTGCAGTAGCTAACTGACAAAAGTAGTTTTTGAAATTAATGTTCAAAGAAAAAAGTAAAATATGTTCAAAGTAAGATCATGGACAAAGTATACAATGTAAACAGTAATCAAAAGTTTACAGTAATATTAAAATAGATGTCAGCAGGAGTATTATCAGGGATAAGTATGGATATTGCACAATGAAAAGAAAGCCAAGACCATACAGTGTGGAAAGAGTAGTGTAATAAGTGGAATTGGGACAAGTAGATATCCACATGCAAATGAGTAAGCTTGGAGCTTTACTTCACATTATATATAAAAACTAGCTTAAAATGAATTAAAGCCCTCAATATAAGAGCTAAAACTATAAAACTGTTAGAAAAAAATAAATCTTCATAATCTTAGATTTGGTAAAGAATTCTAAGATATGATGCCAAAAGCATAAGCAGTAAGAGAGAAAAAAACATAAATTGGACTTTGTGAAAATTAAAAACTTTAATGATTTTTTAAAAAGATATTTTTATTGACTTTAGAGAGATAGGAAGGAAGCGGGAGCGACACAACGAAGAGAGGGATACATCAATTGGCTGCCCCCTGCCAGGGATCAAGCCCACAGCCTGGTATGTGCCCCAGGAATCAAACCGGTGGCCTCTTGGTGCATGGGACAACATTCAACCAACCGAGCTACAACTGCCAGGGCAAAACTTTCATGTTTTAAAAGACACCATCAGAAAATGAATAAACAATTCACAGAATGAGGGAAAATATTTGCGAATCATGTGTCTGATAAGGGATTTGTATCCAGAATCTATAAAAACTTACAACTCAATAATAAAAGGCAAATAACCCCATTTAAAACTGGGTAAGTGGCCCAGCCAGTGTGGCTCAGTGGTTGAGCATCGACCCGTGCACCAAAAGGTTACCAGTTAGATTCTTGGTCAGGGCACATGCCCAGGTTGTGGGTCAAATTCCCAGTGGGGAGCATGCAGGAGGCAGCCAATGTTCTTTCTCATTGATGTTTCTCTCTCCCTCTCCCTTCCTGTCTCTCTCAAATCAATAAAGAAAAAAAATTTTTAAATAAAAATGGGTAAGTGATTTGAATAGACATTTTCCCAATGAAGATATATGGATGCCCAATAAGCATATGAAAAGATGCTTGACATTTTTAGTTATTAGGAAAATAAAAAATTAAAACCACAATGAGATACTACCTCATACCCAGTAAGAAAGTAAAATAAAAGAGAGATAATAAGAGTTGGTGAGAATGTAAATAAATTGGAACCCTCATACACTAATGATAGGGATGTAAAATGGTATAGCTAGCTGGTTTGGAAAACAGTTTGTCAGAATTTCAAGTGATTGAACATAGAGTTACCATATGACTCAGCAATTCAATTCCTAGGTATATACCCAAGAAAAATGAAAGCATGTCCATACAAAACATATATGAAAGTTTGCAGCAGCATTATTCACAAATAATCCAAGTGTCCGTCAACTGTGGAATGGATAAAAAATGTGGCATATCCACACAATGGAATGTTATTCAGCCATGAAAAGGAATGTATTGATGAATTTTGAAATTATCATGCTAAATAAAAGAAGTCAGTCACAGCCCTGGCTGGTTTGGCTCAGCCATTAGAGCATCGGCCTGCGGACCAGAGAGTCCCAGGTTCAGTTCCTGCTAAGGGCACGTGCCTTGGTTGCAGTTTGTCTCCAGCCCTGGTTGGGGTCATGTGTGTGGCAACCAGTTGATGTGTCTCTCTCACGTTGATGCCCCCCCCCGCTCCATCTGAAGAGAAATGCAAAAATGTCCTCAGGTGAGGAAATAAATTTTAAAAAGTCAGTCACAAAAGGTCATGTTTTATAGGATTCCATTTATATGAAATGTCTAGAAATGCATGGAGATAAAGTAAATTGATGGTTGCTTAGGGCTGGGTGCATGAGGATTGTGGGTTACAGGTAAAGGAGATAGAATTCTTTCTGAGGTAAGGTTTCACATGTCTGTGAATGTATTATACATTTCAGATGGGTGAATTTTATGGTATGAGAATTATATCTCAACACTGTTAAAGAAAAGGTATGCAGATTAACAGATGAAGTTAGTGAGGTGAGCTATTTATCCCAGGAATTTAGAAAAGAAGAGCAAAATAAACCCAAAGAAACAAGCAGAAAGAAATAATGAAGATAACAGCAAAAAATAATGAAACAGAAAATAAACACAAGGGGAAGGATCAACAAAGCCACAGTTGGTTCTTTTGAAAAACTAGGAAATTTGCCATGTCATTTAAATGTTTAAATGTATAGGTGCAGCATTGTTATTAATATTCTCTAGTCTTCAGAATCTAAAGTGAATCATTTGCTCATATGTTCCAACAAAATTTGGGGTTAAAAAGGAGGGTCCGTTTTAGGAAGCCAGGAAACCTGGGTGCAGAGAGCAAAGAGAAGTGGACTAGATCATGGAGGAGTCGGGCAAGGTTCAGGCCAACCTCTCTATTTGCCTCCACGTGCCAGGAAGGGTGTGGGGCGTGGCTAAGCAGACATCCAAGGCAGCCTAGAATGAAATCTTTGAGTTCTAATTCCATGTTTAGGTCTCTAACCTTCATGTTTCCTGGAAGCATCAAATCTACTGACATGTGTTGGTTGGGGTGGAGGGTTGAGAGAAGGAACCTCTGCTTTTGTCTCTAATTCTGACTCCTGGGCTGCATCTCCCTCTATAGAGAACCACTGCTCTGCCCCTAAATGCTTTTGTATTTGTCTCCTGAGAACAAAGACGTTCTTAGGTAATCACAGTAAAATGATCAAATTCAGGACATTTAACATTGATTAAATAGTATGTAATATATAGTCCATACTCAAATTTCTCCAATTGTCTCAATGTGCTTCCTAACAATTGTTTTTTCCAATCCAGGATCATAATGTTGTGTGTAGTTGTGTCTGCCTTAAAACAATTTTTGATACCTGGTTTTGACCATTTTGCTTTTACTGTTTCATTAGACCCCCATTTTTAAGTCTATGAAACTTTCCCCCCAAATGCAGCTGTCTGAGCTAGAGTGGAACAAACCAAGGGACCATGACATATTGAGGTCCAAACCATGAAGGGCCACTGTCCTTTGCCTAGCATTCTGCCCTTTGGGA